TCCTTTTTAACTGGGTCCCAAATTGAAGATTCCAAATTATCTACGCTTTGCGGTTGATAGACTCTTAAATAAAATACTATAATTTTAATTTCTATAATCTCTATTTGAATCAGGGTTTATGAGACTTTTAAAAAGTGGAGAGTATTATAAAGTTTCCTTTGCAAAAACTCCACTGCTTTCACAAAACTGACAGGTTAAATGTTTGTTGAAAATACATAGGGGGGTGGGGAGGGAGGAAAACAAATTGGAAAGGAAAATGGAAGTTTAAAATACAGATAAAGGAAAACGACCCAAGAAGACCTGGCTCTTTAAGGGTCCTCCTGAGTTTGCTGGAGGAGGGACTGAATGTAGGTGGGAAAGAGAGGAGGGTTGTTGAAATTATCAAATTTTTCTGTTATTTTCTAAATTAAGTTTTTTAATGCAAATTGTAGCCCAGAGAATTGGGAGATTGAGTTGAGAGATGCTCTGGTTGCAAATCACAGTTTTCCTTTTACTAAATTAAAACAAACATTATGCAATGCCTTTGTGAAGCTAAGGAGTGGGAAGTATTGATTAGAGGAATTCTATGTTATTGGGCAAGGGGAAAGCCTGAAGTTTAGTAATCAAAAACAGAGTTCACTAATTTGGTTAATACAGCAGAAACTGAAGCAGTCAGCAAACCTTGTCAAAAAGAGACCAGATAAAAAGGAGTAAAATTAAGAAGAAAATGCATCACTACAGAATGGAAATCAGGGACCTACAAAAGAGTGGCGCCTGCACCTCGTGGAATTAATGCCCCGGTAATGGCTGTTCTGAGCGCGTGCCAGTTTTTGCTGCCTTCTCAATGAAATCCTCTCCTTACGCTAAGAAAATTATGGTAAAAAATGTGTTTATAAACAACTCTCCTCTAAAGCATGAAACAGTTTACTTCTGGTCCCAAACATGTGCACCTCAAACAGTAAAACAAAAGACCTGCGGCTACCTAGAATCACCCTTTTCAGTGACCATCTATTGTTACTGAGCGTGTCCCATGGGTGGCAGCTTATCAAATCATTCCTTTCAACCACATACTCTGCTAAAAAAAAATCCTTACATTTGCAGAAAGACCTTAGCACCCCAGTAATGTTTTGCTATCCTTAAGAGACTGCTATCCCATTCATTCACCCCGCCCTCCTCGTATTAGCACTGACCTATTTTGTTGATTTTATCACAGGGGACAAGCATTTCACACAATGTCAGGTAAGATGCACTTGTCCACTGATTGTTTAAAATGAATCCCTAGGCTTTCTTATTTTGTGTTTTTCAATAGTCTTCCATAAAAAATAATAGCTCCCATGCTCCTAGATCTGGAAGGCAATTAGTCAGTGGTACCTAAGACTCTTTAACATTATAAGTGTATCCAGATTTAGATACACAAGGGAGAATAATCTGAATTGACACTTGACTTCAGTTTTCATAGGTGATTAAAAAAATAAAAACAGACCACTTATTAAATATAGAGAGACATCATTAAATTAATTACTAGAGAAAGGGAAATTCTCTTAGTTGCTCATTCCATCCCTTAAACCGATTTCCAAAGAAAAGATCCTCCTTCATTAAACAGTAAAGCTAAAAAAACCTGTATTCATTGATAATTTCAACCTGCAGTCACTGATAATTTCAGTGCTTCTGAGCAACACCATTTTTCAACTTATTCATATAAAAATCTGACATCTTGATTGATATACATTGTTTGCTTCATGAGTCAGACAGTCGGTGTAGACTGGCATACATTTTAGAAGGAAAAAATAACTATTTTCTAAATGCACAAATATAAATTTTATCACCAAACTATTCCATTTTATAAACAGATATTACTTTTATCCCACTTTCTCAGAACTACATTTAGTAAAATAACAAAAAATTACATTATTTTCCAGAATCCAGTATTAAATAAAAAAATTTAAAACCTGTATAGATTTATTTTGTTTAAAATCACAAAGCAAAATGAATTTAAAAGTAAAAGATTCATTTGGAATGTATATTCTATTTCCTCTGTTCTGATTTAAAAATATATCATTCTCTATCAAAGATGAGGTCCCAGAGCCAACCCATGTTCATTGTCTCATTTTCTTTTATACAATCCTGAAGTATTTCACATTTTGCCTGAAACATAATATTCTGGGTGAGTTACATTTCATTGTCCACACGAATGCTTTTTGGTCCTATCCCAGCTCTATTTCATTTCCGTGAAAGATATTGAATTTTAAAGTTGTCTTTTATAAAAGTTGTGCTTCTCACAGAAAGGGGGAAAAAATTGAAACTACATAACTGAAGATTAAATAGGAATTTGTGGTCAGGTAAAAAAGAAATAGGCTAGACCTATAGGGTCAATGTTGTAGAGGTCACATACCATGTGAGCATTTAAAATGCAAATTACCCTGCCTTTACAGCACCTCAAAATCACAGGTCTCACTCTTTGAGTATATTTCAAATTTACTAGACTCTGATGATTGGCATCTCTCCTGGTGCTCAGCTTCATTGTGAACATTATGAACCAAAGTCCTAGATTCTTCTTTGCAAATTTGAGCCTCATGATTAATCTATTCTTCTGTCAAAAATCTGAAATCAATAGTAATCCGGCTTCATGGTTTCATGTAACCACTAAATCAAACCTAGCTAATGGAATAGAATCACAGATAGGCTTTCATGCCCTCTGCTGGATGTTCAAGGAAAAAGCTACACCTTTAGCAGGAAGAAAACCTCAGAAAGAAATGAATGTTATTTATCACGGGGGGAAAAAATCTGTCCTGTCAGAATTAAAATCTGAGACAGCAGATTGAACAGAATATTAACGATTTATTGATGAACTAAGATGCAGGCAAAGAGTTACCGATATGAAATGACAGAATTCTTTTTCAAATGTCATGATAATCCTATAATCTAAATTAGTTTTATTATTGTATTGTTTGCAGTAGTTCTCAATGGTCCATAAAGAGCATCTGCTACAGAACTTCCAAGTCTATCTGGAGGTCAGAGCCAAGTGGTGGAAACTGTAGTATTAAAAATAATACTAAGTATGTTGGAGAAATAAATTCAGGCCTTATACAATAATTAACACTTAATAGTCAGTAAGTATTTCTTAGACAATAAATGAAAATGTAACCTGTGATATTTGATAAAAGATCTATTCAGAAAAGCTTCTATGAAAACAAACTCTTTTTTGCTACAAGCCCTACCCACCTGCTTAAACCCTACCCCCACTCTTCCTCCCCAACCTGGCTAAATAAACCAAACAACCCGAGGACAAGCATGCAGTTTGCTTACACTTGCTCTGACACATAAATGCAGCTCTCTTAAAAATGAATTCTGCCCGGCCAGCATGGCTCAGCGGTTGAGCATTGATCTATGATGCAGGAGATCGAGGTTCCCTTCCCTCGATCACATGACCAAGGCACATGCCCAGGTTGCAGGCTCGATCCCCAGCAGGGGACGTGCAGGAGGCAGCTGATCAGTGACTCATCATTGATGTTTCTCTCTCTCTCTCCCTCTCCCTTCCTCTCTCTGAAATCAATAAAAATGTATTTAAAAAACATTCCGATCACTTCAACCCAGACTTTCACTATCTTCTGACAACTCCAGCTGCTGAATCATTAGTCTCATTTCCAGATGTGCTTACACTTTCCTAGGTGTTAAGTATAACCACTGACTGTTCTGTAACTAGAATGGATTTTAACATACATAACTTATAGGATATGAACAAAAATTCAGAAACATGAATAAAACATAAAATTACTTGTAGCCCCATCACTTAAACACATTCATGTTTGACATTTCATTGTTCCGTATAGTATGATTTCCTGTTTGTGTGCAGTTGCAAGCTGTAACTTTGCCAAATTTTATTTGTTTAACTTTATATTATTTTATTTATTTATTTAAAATATGCCTTTATTGGTTTCAGAGAGAGGAAGGGAGAGGGAGAGAGAGAGAGAAACATCAAAGATGAGAGAGTCGTTGATCGCTTTCTCTTGTACATCCCGACTGGTGTCGAGTCTGCAACCCGGGCATGAGCCCTGACTGGGAATCAAACAGGGATCTCCTGGATCATAGCCTATGCTCAACCACTGAGCCATGCCCAGCCAGGCTTATATATTTTTTAAATTAAAGTAATGCATGCATTTAGTTTTAAAAGTCAAATAGTGCTATAGGCCTATTATTTTTAAAAAAACAAAACCAAATTATTCTGCTACACCTAATACCACATAACATTATCTCTAAGTCTGTTTTCTTGAGTCAATTATTTTCAACTCTTCAGTGTTTTGCTTCAGGAATTTGTGGTCTAATTTCCAAATGTTGTACTTTACCATTATTTCCTGAGTTTTCCTTTAATTTTAGATATTATTCATTAACTTCTCACAATGAGATTAGGATTTAGCTTTCTTATTAGATCCTGCCACCTTCCTTCGCACACACATCCCCTCTGCCTAGCTTGTCAATATGAGTAATGCCCATTATAAAACTCAATATTAATTACTTGCATTATTCATAGCTTAACCATTTTTGAAGATTTACTCCAACTTTTTGTTTTTCTCTTTCTGATTCTGGCTCTGGACATGTCTGAATCTCTGCTTGAGTCACTGTTAAATTATGATCATTTTTATTGACTCCATGCTGGGGTAGAGTTCAGATGAAAGTGGAGACACCAAGGCAGAGAAAGCTGAGAGGTGTACTAGAGTGGAATCCCAAACTTCACTGAGACCACTTTGCACATTAACTACTGTCTATGAGTATTAATGGAGAAACATTAATTTAGTTGTATAGCAAAATGTTTGACACAGCAGTCATATGTTGAGTCCACTAATTTATTACTGAAACATCTTCCTGACCAAAAATTTTCCCTACATTCACTGTTTTGTCTATATGTTCTTTTTTAGGCCATTAAAAATGATCTCTGGGAACTCCCACTAAGTGAAAAAATTATCCCTAAATCTGATGTTTTGGACTTAAAAATATTTCTAATATTTTTGGTTGATGATCCAGATCTAAAGTTGGCTTGATTTCAGAGTTTCTTCATATGGAGGAGGGGGTCCTAAAGCGCTGAGACATGGAACAGGGTGCAGGCCGGCGTTCTGAGCTGGAAGGTGAATTCCAACAGTTGGATTCACAGCTGCTTCTGTCCCTGGAAAGAGAAAGATGAAGATTTGTAATCCTTCCACTCAGCATAAAACAGATGTATGTGAAGTGCCTAGTGAAAGCTGACATTTCTTGAATCGCTGGAGCAACAGCAAATTATTTGTGCACTTAGGGGAAAATTTGCAAACATCTTAGTCACTATAGCAAGGAAATTTGCTCTCAGGAACTGATTACTGTAGCTGCCCCTTATTGGTGGTTTTGCTTTCCCCAGTTTAGTTAGCCAAGGTCAACCATAGTCCAAAAATATTAAAGGAAAAATTTCAGAAACAAATGATTGGTAAATTTTAAATCGCATGCTGTTCTGAGTAATGTGATGAAATCCTGAGCCATCTCACTCAGTCCCACACAGGATGTAAATCGTCCCTTTGTCCAGCGTATCCATGCAGTATATCTACCTGCCCACTAGCCACTTAGTAGCCGTCTAGGTTATTAGACTGACTGTCCAAGTATTGCAGTGCTTCTGCTCAAGTAACTCTTGCTTTACTTAATGTCCCCAAAGCCATTCACCTAACTTTTATTAGAGTATGTTGCTATAATTGTTCTATTTTATTGTTATTGTTGTTAATCCCTTACTGTCTTTAATTTATAAATTAAACTTTATCATAGGCATGTATGCACAAGGAGAAATAGAATATGTAGTACATATATTCTGTACTATCCGCAGCTTCTGACATCCATCCACTGGAGGTCTTAAAAAGTATCCCCCACAGGTAAGAGGGGACTACGGTATATCATCATTGACTAACCCATCAAGAAGCATTTACAATTTAGCAGCTGAAGCTAGAAGAAATATCATTTTTGGTAGGTCAGGAAAAAAAATTCTTGTATACAGTAATGGCATTTTAGCTAATGTTCCCATCATGGGAAATTCAAATCTCACTAGAAACATTAAAATGTTACACCTGAACTTCATTATTTTATATGTATGCTCTGAAAGCTGCAACTAATGCAATTAATTACTTTAAAATTTTTCTTCATGATGAATAGTAAAAATGTTAAGTTGTGAAAAGTTTGCAATTAAAGTATACACACACAATAAAGAAAAGGCATTCTTAAATTTTAAATTTTGAAATCAAAGTTCTTGACTTTTAGATTATGCAAACAACAAACCATTAAATGTTAAAAACAAGCATTTTCTTCCTCAAACTGATCACCTCAAGAGCCCATGCACTTATGCCAATAGCTCTTTTGGAAATCTTCTACTAGTATTTTCCTGAAAGACTGTTTTGGAATCACAGAAAATCAATAGTAATATTTTATAACCATTTCTTTCTTTATATTCTTTCCTTTTTTTATACGGATCTTTACCTGTCTGGGAATGATTCTTCCCAAAACAATAGTAACAACTGCAAATTCACATTTAAAAAGAAACAAGGCCCTTAACCTAAACAGCCAATTTTTTTTTTACTGCTTTTGCACATTAAATTTAATTGTAATACAGCCACGCCCGATCAGTTATACATTCTCTCTGGCTGTTCTTTGTGTTTTAATGTCGGAAGTAAGTACTCCACAGGGACCCTATGGCCTGCAAACTCAAACGTATCTCCTATCCCGCCCTTATAATAGAAAGAGTTTGCAGACCTCTTTCTTAAAGGATTAAGGTTTGATATGATCGAGATCTTTTTACCATGCCACAGTCTAGAGAAGCTATGTATTAGGCAGTAGCTGCATCACAGGAGCCCATGTGTAGATGGCTCAAAATTATTACTTTGGAGTGGGTAACATTTATTTAGAATCATGGATTTTCATATATTTAAATATGTTTTATTTTGTATCTCACTGGTTTGCAGAGAAAAGCATAATAACTCAAATATTAATATAATATGTGAAGGGTAGAGTTAGATTTAGAATATGTCTTACCTCCTGGTTCAGCACTTTATTTAAGGAGTTACTTATTTAGTTGAAGAATTGACTTTTAGGCTATTACATAATCTTTTTGTTTCTCAGTTTTTGTTCAGGTAGTAAAGATAATGGTAATATCTGCATCTATAAAAGCAAGGCTATTTGAATGTAAACTGCTTAAAACAAACCCTGGCATACAGTCATCACTCATTAATGGTTCATTATGATTATTACTAGTATAAATATTAGTATTAGTATTATTCGTGTATCAAGAACTATACTATGCTAGAAATATGCATATTTTCTTTTATTTAAATTATTATTTCCCAATCTATCTTATTTTAATGGTCAAATAATATTTCAATCATTATCATTATTAATGTTATCACAGAAATTCTTAAGTGAGACATCTTGTGGCATTAGAGTCTTGCAGTTAGGAAGTTTAGGAGGATGTCAGCTGAGCCTGAGGGACTTGATAAAACAGAGTTAACACTGATAAAGTGTACTTGCCCAAGGACTTCCCTCCATTGTAGGCACTTGTACTGAGCCCCACCCATTCTCCAGGTGAACTGCCCCTAGAAAGCTCAATACAAAGTCAATGGCAATTTAGTTATCATTCTGCCTGGAGTGGTCAATCAGATTGACTTGAGAGTTATTAGCTCAAATGTGTTTCCATCACTGCCATTATCAATACTGTGCTCCAGGCAACAGAATATTGACAATTGCCCTCTGGGGTAGGAAAGTTTTATTGTTACCTCCTTAATACAGATTTGGCTACTGCTCTTGAACTTGCAGTGAATCCACAAGGCATTCATTTGATAAACATAACTAAGACATTGTGTTCAGAGAGCTTTTGTAAAATTGAACATATATCAGTTTTCAATTCCTTTCAACTCATGTTTATGTACCATGTGATTGGGAGGGGAGCAAGCATTATTTTTATCTTTTGACAAATTAAGAATCTGAGAGGTCAGTTAAAAGTTCCTGCAAAAATCCTATGGTTTTGACAGAACTGTTGGTGAAGGTATTAGAGTCTGTTGTTTAACTGTGTAAAACCAATACACTTACTGCTGAGTGTATTTCAGATTTCCCCCATGCTTAAGAATCACACCAATGAACTTGGCTTATTTTAATGTGTCCTTTCTACCTCTTTTCAATCTTTTCCATTCTCTATCTCACCCTTTTCTTTTATATGGGGGTGACTAAGAATGCCTGAACTTGAGTCACAGTTCTTTCATCTACTAATTGTGTTGCTTAATCTCTAAATGCCTTTGTTCCATCACCTTGAGAAGGTTCAGAATGATAGTGAACCCCTTATAGAAGTATAGGAAAAAATAAATGGTATTAGAAATGTCAAGTGTTAACACAGAGCATGACACATGGTAAATGCTCAATAAATGTGGGCAGTTACAATGATCCTGCCCTCCCATGAAACTGTGAATAAAATACTCTCCTTACCTAAAGGAATCACAGAATATTTCCAGGTAGAACATAAAGTATAGATAAGTGACATTTAAAATGGATCTTAACACAGACAGAATCCTGGGTGTGGTGAAGGGGAGAAGGGAGCAGAGTGTAGGGCCTGCCCTTGTCTGTCTCTCTAGCCCTCCTTCACCTCCTGGACTTGGAGCATTCACATTTAGATTGGCATTTCTATTTGCCCTGAAATAAGAAAAGGGAAATATTATCTGAAATAGCAGAAGAAATGGGGTCAGGGTGAGTGGATAGTTGAAAGGCAGCATTATCAGGGAAATCAGCTCTGAGGAGAAGCCAAAATAAGTGTCCCCAGGAGTCTCACCTCAAGGTCTTCTTAGGAAGGCAGGGGACCTGCTTGCTGCTATGTCAGGGCTGAGGGGACCCAGCTCTGATATACATGAAATAGAATGAAAGATTTCAGTGTAGATTTTATAGTAACATTATTTTTTGTTAAAAAAAAAAAAAGAGGAGAGATAATGGCAGGGATCCTTCTCGTAGGCTCTCGAATTCTCTTTTCTAATGAACACTAGATTGTTTTTCTGTCTCCTGCTCTTCCTACTTTTCTTACCCCCTAAACCCCAAATCTTTTTGTCTTTATTTTCTTTAAATGTCTTACTTTATAAATAAGGGCTTTTATTCAGCTTCACAACTTTATTTTCAATGAAAACTTATTATCATTCACAGTTTCAGTGAATTATAAAAACAGTTGTTTATAAAAAACTTTAAAATACCTTTTAATGACTTCTTTAATCTCATTGTCTTACTTTTGTCATTACTTACTTTTTCAAACACGCATTTAAAACTAAACAATTAATCTAACAAACCCAAAACATTTTGTTTTGTTTTCTTTCTTTCTTTTTCTCAATTAGGAGTATTCTCTATCTATTCTCCGTTGGTCTTACAAGTTGATCACAAATGATAGACATTTAGGATACAAGTGGTTGTGTGAGAATTTTAATGATTTTCTCTCCTATCGCTACCATTACTAAAAAATGGATACATCCCTTTAAAAAATCACTTTCTGTGGCCCAATATGCATTTTCACTCTTGATTTACACATTTGAGGGGGAAAAACAGTTGTAAATCTGTGTTTTCTGTTGAATTATCAGAAAAGAGGGATTCCAAGAAGCTTCATGAACATAGGTAAAATAATGGGATTAAAAAACACATTGGAACACTACTTTATTTTTGCTGCTGATACAAGTGCTAAAAAAATAATAAACCTGAATTACACTAGAATTGTTAGTTTCTGATGGTTGGAAGAGGAGAGCAAGAAGGTCTCAGAGACTACTTCACGGATTATCCCATTCCCGAAGACATAATGGCAGCAAGTGGGTCCTTTCTGAGCCTATAGCAAGGGTGCTAATAGAAAACAGGATCAGATGACTTGTGGATGGAGGAAGGATAATCAGGGAAGAAGGGACCATCTAGAAGATCCGGGGACTGGGACTTGGAAGAAGAGTTGGGCTTGAAGCAGAGTCAGGTACAGTGGAGCTTTGGTTCTCGAACTTAATTCATTCCGAAGACTGCTCCAGAAGCAATTCATTTGAAAACTGAAATTCCCCCCCCCCATTAGAAATAATGTAAATTGAATTAGTTTGTTCCAGACCCCCAAATGATTCCCTGTTTTAACCTTTCTCAATTGTCTGTGATCATTGTTTTGTGAGCACTTTCATACCCCAGCTTCACCAGCTCTCTTGATGGCCTCTTTATGTTTTACAATCATTGATTTCTCCATGCCAGTACTCAGTAGCCAGATCAGACATGAGAACACCTCTATCGTAGTTTGCAATTCTTTCTTTTTAAAATTCTATCATTGTTCTCACAACTTTCCTTTTCACTTTGCTGCTATTATTAATCTTCTTAGAACCTATGTTGATTTACTGTACATATTTAATAATAATAAGCAGCAACAAGAGCAAAAAAAAAGACCACAGAAATGTTCACAGCACAATTTCCTTACATGTTAACAGGCGAGGTTTAGTGGTAAACTGACTCATAGCCACACATTCTCTCCTTTGCTTGTCTCCTGAGAGGTGCAAGACTGATCACACAGGTATGAGCATGAAAAGGTTGTAGGTCAAGAACCAAAATTTTATTTGACAACTGAGACATTTTTCCATGAACAACTTGGCTGAGAACTGAATTGTTCAAGATGGGAGATGTTCAAGCACCGAGGTTTGTAACATGATTTTAGGGATTACATAAAATAAATAGGTTTTAATATTAGTCCTTAAAATATCTTCAACTTCAAACTGTAGGTTCCTTCTCCCCTTACTCTTCATCTTTCCCTTCCCCTCCCCTTTCTTGACTTTCTTCTGTGTGCGTTTTTTTAAATGAAAAATGAATTTTTATTAAAATGTACAGGTATTGATAACATTCACTTCTACATTTTAAATGCTTAAAAAATGTATAATACTTTCCTGGTCCACCCATGATACCACAAATGGAAAGATATCCTTCTTATTCTTTTTTTTTTTTTTTTAAATGTTTCTTTATCTTTATTGTTGAGACCATTACAGATGTCCCCCTTTTAACCCCACTGATCTCTCTTCTGGTCTTTACCCTCCTCTTTTTTCTCTAACAATATCTCCCTTTTTTTCTTACCCTCCATGTGTATAAGAGAGATTAATTCTCTCTTAATGGTGCATAAAGAGCTTAATCATAGCATGTTACAGTCTTGGAAACATAGATCCTATGAGAGGGGAAGAAAACAGAAATCTGAGCAATGGATCAGCAAAGAACTGTGAAAAGATATAATTATTGGTCCAGGGGATGCTATTGGGGTCAGAGTGTTTGGCTGAGATTTTCCAGGACATTTCCTAGACAAAAATCTCATCAGACATTCAGATGGGCTAGGCTGGTAAGGCCTTCCTTAAACACCTTTGATGAGGTCCTCAAGACAAGTATTTTCCTTTCTCTCTTCAATATTTCTAATAAAGAAAATTGGCAACCTGAGCCATGTAATATTGTCAGAAACTGCTAGTGAGAGAAAGTTCCTATTTTGTGTATTTTATTATCAGTAAAGTTCAGTCCACTTCAGTCTCTAATAATCAGTCAAAATTATCCCCTTGGCTCTATTCAGTTGAGGCAGCCTCCATGGGATCCTGAGAGTCAAACTTCTCAACCAGAGGTCAACGAAGAGCAGAGCTATTTCAACTAATAAATTCAGCAAATAGGGGTAGTAACATGAAATGAACCTTGAAGAAAATAAAATAAAGACTAGGAGGAACCCAAAGTTAATATAGCAAATCTAGTATCTCCATTAAAATTTTTCAATGAACCGTTTCCTACATTCTGTATTTAGAAGGGAACAACTCACCAACCCCTTTGCGCTCAAGGGGTGACAGGGAGTCCACAAACCCTGTTTCATATTCTAACATGTCATTAGTATCCTCAAGTAAGTTCTCATTTCCCCCCCATTCTGAACAGTGCCTGTGAGGAAGACTCAGCCAGTGCACCCATAGCCTGCAGAGTGGGTGTACAAAGGCCACAATAGCCACAATAACTGCATTCAACTCCAAGCTGTGAGCACACAGTTTGTGGGGGTTGTGAAGGTAGAGGCTCCTGGTTTTGGCCCTTCTCCCCATTTTTAACCATAAAAAGATCCTGGTAGTGGTTTTCTTACTTCCTTTTCGGAAAACAGCTCCTTCTGTGGAAATATTAGGCAGAAAGAATCATTTGTCTGGAGAAGTGAAAGCATAATGAGGATCCAGTGGGGAAGGGAAATCCAGTGTGGGTCTGGGTTTCCTTAAAACATGACTCCCTGGAATATTGACTTCCAAAAATTACTAGTTAAGAAGAGGTGACTAGAGATTCCAGAGAATACCACTTCCTAAATTACTCTTTTTTATTTTGTTTTAGAGAGGAGACCAAAAAATGGCAAGAAGCACAACTCCGGGAGCCACATCCATGGCAAAAAATATGTGAAGGACTGTTCACCACCTGTACAGCGCTGCTGAGCATCCAGGGGACAGGGTGGGAGATGGACAATGGATGGGACAACCTAACACCCAACCCAGTGCAGATGAAGGAAAAAAATATTGAAAAGGGGCAACTGAACCTGTGGTCTCCAAGATAGAAATCAATAAAAGAGAACTTTGTAATACAGCTTAAGCTAGGGAGAGTTTAATTGTTTCTTTATCAAAGTAAGACCCAGAGCTATCCTAGTGGAACTAAGGAGGAATGGATAGAGTAAGGAAGGGAGTGAGGATTCTGGAGAGCAATGTCTACTATTAAGGAATCACCATATGGAAATATCTGGAGGTTCAGGATATAAGCTGAACTTAGTGTAGGTGGTTAAGCCATGAATGCCCTGCCCAAATTTTCTTTGGCTTCCTACCCTTAATTCTGGACAATTTGAAGTCTATTACTTGACTTACAGCAAAGATCTATGTGGATCTATTTATTCAGTAGAGTGAGAAAAGTAGATAGCATCCTCTAGGAGAAGTAATAGCCATTTTTCCAAGTTAGTATTTAGGAACCAGAAATAATCTCTGAGAAGCCCTTGACCTAATGCCTAGAGCTTGTTAGATGTGAAAAAATTTTGACTATGTTATTTAAAAATAAAATAATTTTTCTCAAGTATTTTCTTGTCCTGTCCATAATGACTTCAGGATAATATAGAGAATGTGGTCCCAATGCCCAGCACTCGGTGCTATCACGTGCAGATTTTTGAATTACCATATCCCCTTTGACCCCTTCTCTCACACACCTGTTCAGGCAGGTTCAGGCAAATTCAAAAGCATGCGTATAAACCACCATCCGGGGAATATGAAAACATTAAATAAGTGAGGGTATAACTGTGACACATAAAGTGCTTTAAAATTATAACAGTAAAAGTAGGTAACTTACTTAAATCAAAAAAACTTTTTTTTTTTTTTTTTTTTAAGATTCCAGGAAGACTAGAAAAGTCTTCCTTACGGTAACAGAAGAACTGAAAGGACTAGGATGAATTCCCTCTTTAGAAACTGAAGTAAGTTGAAAGGAACATAATTGCATTTGTTTATTGAATACTTCTAGTTAAATAAAGAAAAATAGGCCAAGGTGACTGTGTTGACCCCTTTGACTCATGTATTTTTTTAGAAGGTCAGTGACCCTATTTCCCTCTGTGTTCAAAGGAAAGTAATTTTGATTTCAGGAGAAATAACTATTTTCATTGAAGATTTTAATTATCTTTCCAAAAACAGCCATTTCTCAAATTGACAATGTTTCCCTTGGTAAATAATGACTTTTAAAAAGTCAATAGTGAATATAATCACTAAACCTTAGAGTAATGAACTTTGATATTAAAACATTTTAGTTTATTTTTATCCCACTTTTTATTTAGCTGTTAGTTTTCCCAGGACATGCTCTACACTCTCTATTGGAAATCTTATCTGGCCCAAGTTTCTGAAGTGCAAGTTGTTAATCTCTACTAAGCACTCTTGAGGCAACTGTAGTATACAGTGCAGGGGCTTAGAGGGAAAGTCTAATAACAGACGTTCTGGATGAGGCCAAGGCTTGGAGTTAATAATAACTGTATGACCTCAATTTTCTCCATTCCTTACTTCCTAGTGCAGACAGGAAAATAATAGGGAGGACATGGTTCAAGGGGTGGGGTGGGAGAAGGCAGGATTAGGGAGCTGCCAATGTGTCTGGGGAGAAAAAAATATGAGTATTTATACTCCCTGCCAATTCCAAGGTTTTCAGGCTCTGCGTTGGCAGAGGACCATTTGGAAAGTGTGGTTCAATGTTACTGTTGTAAGTGAGGCTATGAACACAGGGCAATATAAACTGATAGCAAAATCTCAGAAATACTTCCCTGCACCTTAAACCGTACCACTCACTAGAAGTGGCCAGCCCTGTATATCTCCTCTTTCTGTGCGTCGACTGTGTAAAATGTTTAGGTTCTATCCCCATACTCAACTATAAATCATTTTTCCAAGACACACGTGTTTTTGTTGTATGGGGGTCTCTTTCTTCTAAAGTTTTCTCATTTAAACTCTCTCCCCAGTGCATGCTTTTGAATCTTCAATAAACCATGTCTTGTAAATTCACAAATCTGCTTTTCAGAGATTAGTTTTTTCATTCACCACAAAACCATAAGGTTTCAAAGAGCAAGTCCAGAAATGTGCAGGCAGTTTACCATAAACAGAGTCCAAGTCTCCGACAGCAAAAACAGCCACGGTGCCTCTTGAGGAACCGATTCTGCTTCTCCGCAGCCAGCCCTGAAGGCAGAAGAGCACTGCCCCGCAGAGCAGGGCCACCAGGAAGATCAGCAGGAAGAACCTGGAGCCAGAGAATCAGGAGAGGAGTGAGGTGGGCCAGCCGGGAACTGCAGACTCCCATCACTACCTGAAAAGGCGACAGGGACTCAACAGGAGTGACTGCAAGCAGTCCGAGGGGCTGAGTTCCTTATGCACCACCCCCCCACCTCCACTTGCACATTTTCACTGAACCTGGATGTAGGCTGAGCTCAGAGTGGGTTGATCTTGCCAGGTGAGCATAATTGTTTTCTCTTTGGAAATTGGAAGGTTGTTCTAGGGAGCATGCTTTGGCTCTTTAATCCATTTATCCAATTTTCCTTTCATTCAGCCATAAATCCATTCATTCCACCAGGATTTAAACAACTGAACAGATTTTATATGTTGGGGTTGGGGATTCAAAGGTTGACAAGATAAGACATAGTCTTTGTCTTTGAGGAGCTATCTAAAAGAGAAAATTGGTAATGCTTAGTTTGGAAAGTACGAAGGCCAATATTTAGGAGGTTATAATAACTAAAAATTTCTAAAAGCCTAGCTCGTAAAAGAGGCAGTAGTCTTATTTTGAATGTTTTTTAAGGCCAGAACTAAAATCAATAGAAGAGGCATTTCAGAAGATATCAAGAGAAGGAACAATAATTTTACCTTTCAAGATTTCAACTAGGGAGCGAACTATTATTCTTAAAAACAGTAAGCTCCCTGTTATAGAAAGTATTTAAGTAAACACTGGACGACAACTTTAAAGTGATGTTTCTACATATATGGATTCATATGACCTCTATTATTTTCTTAAGAGGTACGATTTCATGTGCCATGTCAGCTATTTAGGGAAAGGATTATGTATATACCACCAAAGGTTTTTATAAAACAAAGTGAACGTGTACTTACCAGACATACCAGTCATTCGGGTACTGATGTTTATAGTTTATGCACCTGGTGACAAAGAAAGAACAATTAGTGTTGGACCTCTAAATGGCCCAAACCTATTCTTTTGCACCGTAATATTTGTTTGGACTACACCTGTTTCCCCAACAATCACTTACTCACTGCCAGGCCCCCAGCACAGTTAAGCACGTGTTTCCCGAATGTCCACTTCATTCAAGGCACCGAGGACACATGCCAATGGAGACCACCCGGGACTTAAACGGGTCATTGCATCGTAGTAGGTTTGAAGCTAGAGTTTCAAACCCTGCTGTGCACTGAGAAGATGGTGACTAACCTTCCAGGGCTAACTTGTCCTAGGTATTCGGAGATGACCATTCTAAGCTGTTTATCCTGAGATCTAGAGCTCTTTAAAATGCAAATTCTCCAGGACGGTTACGGGGCCTATTAACCTTTGAAATCTTGGTTTGGAATAGCAACCCTGCAATCCTGGCTGTGAAAAGAAGTTGGGATAAAAGGAAAAGGAATGAGTGTGGCCAGAGAGAGGTCCCACGTACCCAGCACTTAGGAGTTGATTTGTTCAGTCAGGAGGGTCAACTCATTTGTGTGTTTCAGCACAATTTGATTGTTCCTAAGATAAGTTTAGAAAGCCCACCCAGAATCAAAGTTCACAGTGTGATTTTTAGGAGGTTTAACTCCTCGGGTTTGGACACGTGCTATTCATCCCAGAGTCCCTCCCTTGGCCAGACATTGTGCTTTGAACGTATATTTGTTGATGAACTCTTTTCAGGCCTCGGTAGATGGGCTGCTGTTAAAATATCTGGGATTAAATCGTGGAAAGCTGTTCATCACAGCCCAATAAGCTTCGGAGAGGGAGCTGCACTTAATCATGTCTTCAGCCATTGTTAAAATAACACTCGGCACTTTTCAGCTTGAAAGCATTCATAAATGTCAGCTAATTTATTGCTCCCAACATGTCCGAGGAGAAAGTGTGCCCTGTTTATCACCTTTCTCTTCAGAAATGATTTTTTAACATATGTGAGCATCAACTTAAAAATTTTACCCCAAATATTTAAGACAAAACTCAATCACCCATACAAGAAGTTTTTTGGGGATGTTTGCTTTGTTTTTGCACCTAGAGGGTTTAGCCAAATGCCCAGGTACAGATGGCTGGGGGAAAATGGCAGCTGAAGTATGACTTTAAAAAGCATCTTAAGAGAGTAATCTCAATAGAAGATTTTAAAGATAATGAATGGTACATTCTCTTAAAGGAATATTATCTATTCATCAAGAAATGGAGATTTATGTTTATAATTAAAAGCCTTGATATGTAAAATAACATAGTGCTCTCATTTTGACTTTGTGTATATTTTCTTTTATACAGATGCAATGATTTCACTAAACAGGTATTATATAGTTTTATATATATATATATGTGTGTGTGTGTGTGTATAATTACTAACAATGTTTGCTTCTCTTGAAGATGGTATCATGAGGTACTTTATCTTTTCAATATTTTATATTGTTTAAATTTTTATAATGTACATATATCACCTTTGTAGCCATAAAATTTTTAAATATTATGTTAAAAATATAAAAAATTTAAAAAATGCAGTATCCCACTTTAGAGATGGATATAAGAAACTGTTCTCGGTGACTTAGCCAAATAAAATAACAGAAGGCTCTTGTTTTTGGGTCTTGAAATCTAAGCCCATGACCAGGAATGCGGGTTGCTTCATTTCCCTCCACATATAAATCTCTGCTTCTTTTCTTCACATTTAAAGATAGATCATATACTTATTATAATGTTAATTCTAAATCTAACTACCTCATTTTATTTGTTAGCTTTAATTTTTGAGCCACTCAATATTTTTTCCGGTGCTAACAATTATGCAAACTGACTTATTTCATGTTCTCTGTCTGACCCTGTGCACCTACTGGTAGATTTTCTGATATGCAACAAAATGCTCAGGAAGTAGTTAGCTGAAAAAATGCAAAGTGATGATGTAATTTAAGAATTGCGGACACCTTTGGGATCATTTATTTCCCCCTTAGGATTTTACAAACTCTGCCACTGAGACCCAGAGTGGGGAAGTAAGTGGGGAGGTCACTAGCTGCCCAGAGAACTTAAACTAGATTATCGGTCTTCCCTCCCACCATTATTTCCATGTCTTTCTCAAGTTCAATTTTTAAACAGAAGTTCTTTGAATTGTTAGAAAAAGTACCTGGACTGTAACAATATTCCAATTATACTCAAATTTTAAATATAAGATTTTCAGTGTAGAAAGTTACATATTTTAAAGATGAAGTTATTGTCTTCAGATTTGTATATGCCTCGTGAAATTGAGATAAGGGTATACAAAAAAACAAAACACCTGGGGAAAATGAGAACTGACCATGTTTCAGGAAGACATTTCCAATATCAGACTTCTCTAGAAGTCGTTGTTGAAGGTGGTCCTTTTTGTCCCTCCCAGAATGATGACTGCCCTCTTTACTTGGTTGCTGTGGAGATGATTTCTGCTCCACAGGGATAGTTAGTGGAGTTGATCTTTATTACTCTTCTCAGGGTTGAGAAAATGTGGACCTAAAATTAACTACAAACTCATTATTTGATAAATTTAAGAATGTATCCCAGTCATTAAGTGGCACATGACTGTGAAGGGAACCAAACTTTTGCCTTTTGGGATATTGATTTTAAGCTATTTATTAGGAAACAAAAGACTCAGAAAGAACCCTTGACCCTCCCTCTCCCTTTCTGTGTAAGAGATTCAGGTGGAAAGGCCTACTCAAGGAAGGGGATCTTAGGATGTTAGCCTTAGTTTAATTTAAATTAAATATGATAAATATGAGGGCTTCAGTCAGAGGCCAGTTAGCTAGATACAATGTGTCCCGTTGTCTCTGAGTTGCCTAGCAAATATTGACCTGCCTCGTATGCTCCACTCTTCCTCAATGACCTGTAAATGGCCCAGTCGCACTTTTGAAATCTAAGATCCAGTCCCCTTCTTTTTCCTTTGTCGAAAATGACATATATACCCAATTTTGACATATATACCCACTGTATTTGGAATTTTTATGCTTATATGAACTCACCATGGACATGTATTAAAATTTGGATTTTCTCCTGTTACTCTGTCTCTTAATTATTAGCCTGGCTAGAAAAACTTAGAAATTTGAAGAAAAAGTATTATGTATTTTTTGGCCTCCACAACTGTATATCAAAAGCACTCTGAAATGTATGCATAATACAGGTTAGAAATTTCATTAGTTTGCTTACATTTGAAACTGATTTATCCAGAAAGCTACCTCCTATCACTGATAAGGTTTATGGGTGTGGATACAGCCATAGATGATGTAATAATTCTTTCATGAACGTAAAGAACCCCTAAAACCTCAGTGGTGGAGAATGCTGTGAGCACAAATACCTAGAAATCAACTAGGCCTCTTACCCCCTATTTATTTAACAAAGCTGATGATAATAAAAATGCATTTATTTCAGCTTTTAGAAAAATCAAGATATTTGCATTTAAAACAATTTACTTTTCTTTTTCCTGCATGGTTACACTGGTCATTTGAAACTCATTTGGGTCTTCTTCAATGGCTTGAGCCTTTTTTAGTCTTTGAATTTTGAAGGTGCCTTTTGCTATTTACTTACATTTCATTGTCTTCACACGGTGGGTCCGAGAGCACCAACTGAAACACAGGTTTAGAACAATAAAATCCAAACATCTCATCAGTCTAATCCTCTAATACAATAGCACCTAGAGACAATGCGGGTTTATATAATTTTGTGGTTTTTTTTTTTTTTTAAGTAAAGCTTCATAGCAGAGTCTATTATCAGGCAAACAGAATTTTAATTGAAAAAAACAATCTCTGTGTAGATTTTCCAGCTCAGTAGTGATAAGAGATACATATTGTAAGCCAGATTCCTATCCTACACACCATTACAGATGAATGTCAAAATCTTTTTGTTTTTTAATACAGGCAGATTTTGCTTGCTCTAAAGAGCTTTTGTGCACCTTGCATTTTTCTTTGTTTTCATGTTTCAGCTAGATGATGGAGGTTAATTATTTGTATTATTTTCACACAAAGGAATCAAATTGCCTATATGAAAACAGAAGTCCATGCCATTAGCATTCATGGGTATTAAATATATGCATGAAGGAGTGACTTTAACCTGTTCTAAAGCTAAGGTTGATTTAAGAGCACGTGGCATTCCTGTTGAGATTTACATTTCTCTCTTTATCAAAGAAGAAGGGAAAGTAATAGTTTTGATGGCTTTGTTTTAAAGGACCCAGACTTTAATCACTCTAACACAGTTAGCTTAGTTCTCTGTGTTGAGCCTTACAGGTTACTATAACTCACAATCACAGAGGAAAGAAAGTCCTCCTTTCTAGAGGTCTTGTTTGTTTGTTTGTTTTTTCCTTGAAATGAGACTACTCCGTGCACAATAAGAAAATCTTTAAATGTCTTTTATATAAGATTCTAAATATGAGTTGATGAGGTTAGCAAAGTATTTTCCTGGTCTATAACACAGAAATATAAAGCCAAGTAAGCAGTTACAAAATTTAAAATGATACACATGGGAATTTTGTGTGAGATATGTCTTTTTTTTCTTTCTTAATCTCAAACGCATCTTTGTCAGCGACTTATATTTCCTCCACCATGTTTATCTGGGTGAGGAGATTTGTGGGGCTGCAGATGGAGCCCTGAATTGGCCATCAGAGAGCATGGTAATGAACAATTTATAGGCACAGAACATGAGTTGCACTCTCTTTTGCTAGAATGCTGCAAATAGATTTGGATACTAACTGAGAGGAAAATGAACATTCAAATTTTGTCCATAAAGAGAGTTTATGTGTGAATAGATGAAATCATTTGGGATCCACTTGAACAGATAAACAGATAAAGCCAGCATTTCACTTTTAAGTCACTTCCTAATCTTCTGGCGTACTACACCCTAGCAAGGAGAAAGTACACAGGATTACATTATTACCACCTCGCTGCCAATGCAGTAGCTGTCAGGCTGCTGGAAATGGGGATCGAAGTCTTAATATATTTCAAACCTGAATCTCTGAGATACATTGCATTCAAGTAGCGCAGATACAGAGATGTAGGTATTAGCCTGAGTGAGATGCTAGAGCAGAGGAAACAAAATAAACTCTAACATGGTTCTGTCTACACTGTTCAGCAATGGAAAACTGTCAAGCACCAAGCGTGGTTGTAGGCAAGAGTAAACAAACATGTATTCCATGAACCCCTCCAGAGCATTTGATATGTCAATGGCATTGTTTATTTAACAAAATTTACAGCATAGTAAAAGTAAGCAAAGGTTACATTGCACATATCACTTCAATAGCAACAGAACTAAATAAAGAAGAAATAAGACTAATAGCATGGACCATTTAGTTTTCCGTATCTTTGACCAACAAATATAAGTAGTCACAAGATTCTGGTAACACTTCCTTAAAGGGAACCTTTGAAATGTTTGAGTTAAGTTACCCAGAGAACAAATCGATAACTACTCAGGTCCTTAGAGGGCCTCTGAAAATATTTTCCCAGAAAAAGAGACGGTTACCTGGAAGAGTGGCAAACACCAGGTTCCTATTTTGGAGATCAGTGAGGTGATACTAAAAGGTCTGGATCTCGACATACTTAAGGGACAAGCTGCTCAAAGACAGCAGCTTTCCATCCCTGTTTGTTTCTCTCTTTCTCAGAACTTGGCTTCTCTGTAAATTATGCTCCCTGCCGCAGCACTCGTTAACGATGGCTCCTTGTGACTGGGAAAGTGCGTGCCGGGGGCAGAAACGCTGGGTGCGTGCTCGCAGGTACTGAGAGGTCAAGGAATTTCAGGTTAAGGTCAGAACTTGCGCACTGTTTGTCAAGCCCTTAAAAGCAGGGGGCATACGTGCTGATCTGCAACACTAGCTGGCTGCTTAAACAACTGACGATATTCAAGTGCATGTTTTAGTCCAGGGTATTTCTCGGTTTTTCATAGAATCTTTTTTGCGCTTGGGACATTTCTTTGGTTTTCTTCCCCTGCTTGGTCTTCTTTGCTCTTCTTTCTCTACACATCGTTTTCAGTCCCAGATCTAACCTAACCTTGGGCATAAAGCTTTTCCTGCCTCATAATGATCACACTCGACTTTTAAACAGGTCACATTTCAATGTTTATTTTAATAAAACAACTCAAACGCAGCTGCCAACAAAAATGTTTGCCAAAATACTTAGGGAAATTCCAAAAAAGAACAATGAAGAGGCATAAGCTACTGTACATTAAGATATAAGGGTAGATAAATTTACAAAAATCAGTTCTGATGCACAATAAACAATAAGAAAAATGTACCAGAATAGAGCTCAGAAAAAAAAGAAAATAAAAGTAGAGATTTATTTTTGCTGCCATTTCAAACCAGGGCTGAATAGATGATATTTAGGAAATGATGAACAACTGAGTAGTTAGACGGAAAGACTGTTAAAATGCCTAACCACATTCATAATTAGAGAAATATAACTTACGATTATAATCACATTGGCAAGTTTAAAAAATTGATAATATAGTGAGAGGGGATAGATACAGGGAGACAAGATTTCTCGTACATAGCTGGAAAAACTGTTTAGCCTTGCTGGAAGTCAATTAGACAATATTTATTAACCTAAAAACTGGATATATCCTTTGGCCATGAATTCTCCTGTCAGGGATGTATCTTACAGATATTACTATGTGCGGCACACATAATTATAAGCTATGATGTTCACCGAAGCATTGTTGGTAATAACAAAATATCGAAAACAGCCAGTCTCCATCAAAATGTGTCTGGTTAAATACAAAATGATTATATCCACTCAACAGAATACTAGGCAGCTGTTTAAAAAGGTGAGGGAAGATCACAGATGCTGTTGTGAAAGGGCTTCCATGAGTTATTAATTAAAAGAATTACATTATAGAACATTGTGTTCTACAGTCATGCTACCTTTTATGCAATAAATAAACAAATATAGCTAAACTCTTTTTTCACCCTATAAAACTTACACATATCTACATATATACACAGAACGTCTCTGCTTAAAACTGTTAACAGTAATTGTCTCTGTAAAAGGGAGAGGGTGAGGAACTAAGAGTAGAAGGAAAATTTACTTTTTGCTGTTAGTTTCTTCTGTGTTTGATTTTTTAAAAATTCTCTATATGTCATCTACTCATTTAATACATACATTTCTATGGACCCATTTTGAAGCCAGCCATCTAGAATTCAGAACAAGCATGTTGTAGCTCAAGCCCCGTAGAGTTCACTGAGTCCAATTCCGATGAAAATATATGAATTTGTTTATGATCACACACATAGATAGCACTAGAAAGAAAGCAGCCGTGTTAATTATCTAAACTCCATTCTGTACGGGCCATTAAGGTATATGGATTAGTCGGGCTGCATCTGGACAGGGAAGCAGGCCGGTGGCCTGGGCCTGTTTAGTATGCAGCCACAGGCACGGCCATGAATTTCAAAGCACAGGAAGGGCTTGGTGCCAATGCCAATAGGAGATAAGTAAACCAAGCCTACAGTATTATTTGTCCCTAAGACACCCTTCATTCTGAGTGTGTCTGAAGCCTGCAATTAAATAGAATGAAAAATAGGCTTTTCACTCCTGAGCTTATTTATTAGGGGTCAGTCAGAAGCCTGACTTCCGTCGGTGGAGTCAGTGATCTTACAAATTCCTAGGCAAGGAAGAGAAGGTCAGATGACTAGAAGAGAATGAAATGGAAACACGGGCAGCATGTTTGGATTAGCTTTAAAAGCTGGAGCTATGACCAACAGGATACATAGATTAAATAATTCTTATGAAAAAAATGATCCCACAGCAGATGACTGACTGGGAGCATGGCAGCTGATTGAAGGTAGAGTCCATAGTCACAGTAATACTGAAAACAACACTGCTATATTTGGTGCTAAAATAAAAAAATATGTATTTATTACCAATTTCTCTTCCCTGATTGCTATCTGTTTACTTCTGTGACTTTCTCATTCCACTCTGAAGACCAGCATGGTAGATTCAAGCCTAATCAGTCATTTCCCTAGTGGATTCCTTTCCCATCATCTTAACAGTTTGATGGTCTCAGAAAAAGAAGTCTGTCCATGATTGTCTTTTTATCTGCATAATTTTTAAGCATTTTATTTTGAGGTAATTCTAGATTTATATGCAGTTTTAAGAAATAATACAGAGGTATCATATATTCTTCAGCCAATTTCCCCCAATGGTAACATCTTGCCTAACTAATGTACGATATGGCAACCAGAAATTTGACAGTGGTACAATCCACTGCCTGCCTGATTTTTGTAATTTATGTTTCATCATTTAAACTTTGTGATTAATCCAATAATTTTGCCCAATGCATGCTTATGTGCGTGAACTTATGGTAGCGAGCTAGCATCACTGGGATGTCAACCTGAACAATGATGATGGCTGTTCATAGCAATATGATCTCCTTGCTAATAGTATAGGGACTTCTGATGTTTGAATATAAGGGTGGAAGGAAGCAAAACTCTTAGAAAGAGGACATATACTGTGATGATACATGAGATTACAATCACAAGATTGATTGGGTACTTGGATGTTGGGTCCTATAATCCTCATCTTTGTAACAAGAGAACGGTAAATGTATGTTTAATGGTACAGTGCTGGTCGCTTACCTAGCCTTTGTCCTATACTAGGAGGAAGTAAATCCTGTAGGAAAGCATGGAGATGAGGGGATATAAAAACGATTCTCTGGATTCAGAGCCTGGCGGAAGTCTAAATTCCCTGAAGCTCTAAAGTCATATTGATATTTGTCCTTAAAGGTCATGGTGTGCAGCTGTTCAAAAACACCCAAGGGCCAAAATTCAAGGGATTAAGTAAGAATAAATAGAAGGTATGAAAAGAAGTGAGCAATGCCTAAAGAAAGGTTCAAAGAACAAGACAGGAAGCACCGGCTGCTCTGTTTATGGAAATTAAAGGAGCAAGGTAAGGTTCTAGTAGTTAGAAGGCCTGGGTTGAATTTATCTTCTCTAAAAATTGTATGTTCTACAAAACAATGGTAATAACACTGACTTATCTCCCTCACATAATTTATGTAAAAGATTAACATAAAAATACCACCATAAAATCAGACATGTCACAGACATAAGGAATTGATTACTGAAGCATAATAAAACAAAATAAGGAATCCTGAAATCAGTTTAGCTCATGAAAACTATGGGAGCCAGGGCTATGTCAGGAAGACATTAAGTAAGACAGCTTGTCTAGTGTCTGGTTTTATCATTTGTTTCTCCTCCTTAGTGAGAAGAAATATTGATTACATTGCTAAACCAATGGTCAGTTTTCAGTCTTCATCTTCCTTGACCTAATTGGTAGCATTTGACATGGGTACTCACTTCTTCCTCCTTTAAATACTGTTTTTCACCTGGCCTCCAGAACAATACATTCGCTGATTTCTCTCCCACTTTGTTAACTGCTTTTCTCCCATTTTCCCTCATCTTCTTAGACTTAACATGTTAGGGCTGCCCTAAGACTAAGCCTCGACTTCTTTTTTTTCTATATACATTCACATTTTGGGGAATTTTATTCAGCCTCATAGATTGTCACCCATAAACTGACAACTACAAAAATGCATAAGTCCACTCCAGACCTTTTTCCTGAACTTGTTTAACCAACTGCCAACTCCATATCACCGTTTGGATATCTACTAGGCTTCTGCAAATGAACTTGCCCCACATCTAGCTTCTGATTTTCCCATCTCCCTTCTACCTATTTATCCCCATAGAGCTTTCGTATATCAGTAAGTCTTTCCTTTTGGTTTTTTAGGCCAAAAAGGGTTGTCAACATTTTTGAGATCTCTCTTTCATATACCATCTGCAATCACCAGCAAATCCTGAATTCTGTACATTCAACATATGTACAACTCCCCACCATTTTTTATTACCTTCACCAGGAACTTTTCACCTGAATTACTCACCAATCACCATCATCTGTCACCTGAATTAGTTCAATAGCTTCCTAGCAAGTCTGCCAGTTTTTATACCCACCTGTTCCCAATCAACCCTTAACACAGCAACCATGGTGATGGTCTTCTCTGTAAGTTAGATCCTGTCACTCCTCTGCACAAAACTCAAGTGGTTTCATATTTCCCTCAAAGCACAAAAAGGAAATCCTTGCAATGGCTTACAAAACCTCACAAGGTCTGTTCTCTCTTTCCTTTCTGGCCTCATATTCTACAGGTCTCCTCTTGACTCAATCTCTTCCAGGTACAGTGGCCTCCTTGCTCTTCCTAGAAATATCCAGGTGCTCTCCTGCTTCAGGGCCTTTGCATTTGCTCTTCCCTCCATCTGAAGGACCTCCTCACTTGTCCGCATAGCTTACTCCCTCACCGTGAGCTCTTTGCTCAAATGCCACATTCTCAGTGAGGCTTTTCATGACTACCATGTCTGATGTTACAACAACCTCTTCCCCAGCCAACACCTCCAATCCTCTTTCTATAACTTATGTTTTTCCAAGAATTTGGGGAAACGCCTACTTCTCATATTTCATTTATGATAATTATTTATTGTTTTTCTCCCTCCTCTGGAATGAAAACTTAGTGAGGAAAAGAAATTTTGCCTATTGTGTTCACCATGTAACTCCAGTACC